CATGTACACACACACAGATGTATACACACACACACACACGCTGTAGCCACAAAAAGGCAATATAGAAGAAAATACCATTAATACAGCAGGAAGGATTTATAATTAGAAAGTTCCACACAGGGCCAGGCATGGTGGCTCACGCTTGTAATCCCAGCACTTTGGGAGGCCAAGGTGGGCAGATCACAAGGTCAAGAGTTTGAGACCAGCCTGACCAACATAGTGAAGCCCTGTCTCTACTAAAAATACCAAAAAATGAGCCAGATGGGGTGGTATGTGCCTGTAATCCCAGCTACTCAGAAGGCTGAGGCAGGAGAATGGCTTGAACCCAGGAGACAAAGGTTGCAGTGAGCCAAGATCGTGCCATTGCACTCCAGCCTGGGCAACAGAGCAAGACTCCATCTCAAAAAAAAAAAAAAAAAAAAAAAAAAAAAGAAAGAAAGAAAGAAAGAAAGAAAGTTCCCCACAGTTATTCATCAATTATATGCTGCACCATCATTGGCATGATCAGGCTTAATCAACCGACATCTTTTACGCTATCTGCTGTGAAACAGAGAGGTCGATAAGAAAGTCCTTGCTGCTCTTCTCAGAATTTCTTCTTGTCTTTCGTGGCTGAATTCCTTTCCCTAACATTCATTTTCAGAATTAGATAGTAGAACTCTTTGGGGGAAGAAGTGGGAGCAGTGAAAGTTGTCACATCACTTATTATTGAACACTTAGCATTGTTTTCTATTGCTAATTATTATTATTTTTTTAATTTTTTTTTTTTATATGTAAAGACGGGGTTTCACCATGTTGGTCAGGCTGGTCTTGAACTCTTTTTTTTTTTTTTTTTTTTTTTTGAGACGGCGTTTCGCTCTTGTTACCCAGGCTGGAGTGCAATGGCGCGATCTCGGCTCACCGCAACCTCTGCCTCCTGGGTTCAGGCAATTCTCCTGCCTCAGCCTCCTGAGTAGCTGGAATTACAGGCACGCGCCACCATGCCCAGCTAATTTTTTGTATTTTTAGTAGAGACGGGGTTTCACCATGTTGACCAGGATGGTCTCGATCTCTTGACCTCGTGATCCACCCGCCTCGGCCTCCCAAAGTGCTGGGATTACAGGCTTGAGCCACCGCGCCCGGCCGTGGTCTTGAACTCTTAACCTCAGGTGATCCGCCCACCTTGGCCTCCAAAGTGCTTGGATTACAGGCGTGAGCCACTACGCCTAGCCTAATTTTTTTCCCTTTTTTTGAGACAGAATCTCACTTTGTCACCCTGAGATTCTGTCTCAAAAAAGGTTGGAATACAGTGGTGTGGCTCACTGAAACCTCCGCCTCCCAGATTCAAGTGATTCTCCAGCCTCAGCCTCCCAAGTAGCTGGGATTATAGTGCCCACCACCACAGCTGGCTAACTTTTGTATTTTCAGTAGAAACAGGGTTTCACCATGTTGGCCAGGCTGGTCTCAAACTCCTGACCTGAGGCGATCCACCTGCTTCGGCCTCCCAAAGTGGTGGGATTATAGGCATGAACCACCATGCTCAGCCTATTGTTAATATTTTGAATAAACTTCAATGAACATTCATGCAACCACACTTTTGCAGTTACCCATAATGGATTAAGAGGATTTTAAAAGTGGAACTGGTGGTATGTTAGCGATTTCCACAAACCCTTACCGGGCAGTGGGCCTGCTTAGGCAGCAGAATTTTCTTTTCTTTTCTTTTCTTTTTTGAGACTGAGTCTCACTGAGTAGCCCAGGCTGGAGTGCAGTGGCATGATCTCGGCTCACTGCAACTTCCACCTCCCGGTTCAAGCGATTCTCTTGCCTCAGCCTCTTGAGTAGCTGGGATTACAGGAGCATGCCACCATACTTGGATAATTTTTGTATTTTTAGTAGAGAGGAGGTTTCAATTTGTTGGTCAGGGTGGTCTTGAACTCCTGACCTCAGGTGATCTGCCCACATCGACCTTCCAAAGTGCTGGGATTACAGGTGTGAGCCACCATGCCCAGCCAACAGCAGAACTTTCTAAGTGCTCAGGGTTCTTGGAGATGGCTGAGAATGGGCTTCTCCCGTGTTTGGGTGGAAGAGGATGCTAGCTGGGTGACCCCGAGTCAATAAGGAGGGATTTGGTTACACCTTGGGACCTAAGGCACAGAGATGAATGTCCCAGCTCAAGGCTGCCCCCTGCCATTCCACTCCATGCTTCCTCTCTTCGTAGACCTGTCAACTCTTGCACCTGTCAACTAGCTGTCTTGCCCACCTAGCCCTACAGTCAGGCTTTCTATCCCTTTGGTGATCTCCACTCCATCAAGAAGTGGCTCTGGGCTGGGGGTGGCGGCTCACGCCTGCAATCCAGGCACTTTGGAGGCCAAGGCGGGCAGATCACCTGAGGTTTGGAGTTCAAGACCAGCCTGACCAACATGGTGAAACCCCGTAAAAAAAAAAAAAAAAAAGTGGCTCTGTACATTCTGTTTCAATTGACTTCTTTTTTTTTTTTTTTTTTGGAATGGAATCTCCATCTATC